TAAGGACGTCTTTTTCAGGTCTGCATTGGCCGAGTTCTGTTTTTGTCATCTTTTTCGTCGATTTGCTCCGAAATTTTGACAAGCACGTGATTTGTAAACTGAAACTGTCTTTTCCAGTCACGTGCCACATGCCTGTCAAAATTTCGGAGCAAATCTACGAAAAAGATGACAAAAACGAACTCGGCCATTATGTCTTCCCAAGCAGCGCTTTCACGTCCTTACAAACGTCCTCATTAAAGTATTGACGTTAAGGCGCAACGTCAAATAGACGATATTATACAATAACCCTTATTTTCACCAAAATGGAGAATCATCTCATGGTTGGTCACGACGTCGCAGGTCGCGAGGTTTTACCAATTTTTAACTTATATACGTCAGCATGCACACACAAAAATTTAAACGTTTACTAAACGTCGTAAACCATTACTAACCTAAAAATAAATACAATACCAAATAAAAGACGTTTGCACTTTTGGTTTATTATTGGTAGCTATTATTTTATTTCCCAACTCATCACATTTACTAACATAGGAAAACAAGGTACACCTCAATGGCGGTTGGACAACAAAGCGAACAAGCTCAATTAAAACAGAAATATTATCAACATTAACTCTCCCTATACAGTGTCAACACCAACCGATAGTTCTCTATTGGCGTTTCCGATTGGTAGATTCAGTGCGCACTGAATGTATTTGCATCCTTTTAATCGACCTGTAGAAGAAAAAGAGAGAAATAGAAAAAATTGCACTAGTTCCGCACTAAGTCTACCAATCGGAAACGCCATATGTTTATTAACCGCCCAAACTGCTACGTGAACTAGCTCATATCCGATTCAATTTGCGTATGTCGTTTCTGTTTACCACCGTGTTTATTGTTTGCTCGAGTTGTCAAATTTGTATAGCGTGAATACACAAAACGCCTTTTCCCAATCAACTGACACCACAAGGATAGGCCTATTCGCCTGTGTCGCATATTCTAACTATTTAATTTATATCCGAATGAAACGGCGGTAGCGTTTAGCATGGTAAAGGCAACTACGAATACTGTAAGTTGTAAATCGGGGCATAAATATTGGCCTTGCAAAAGAAATACCTATGTTAATTTGTTGGATAATAAAAGCACCTACAACGTAAATATTTTTGTTGAAAAACGCTGTACGCTCTCGGAGACTATGGTTCTCTGGATGGTATTATCTGCTTGATCCTGATGGTTTAGGATAGAAGAGCAGAAGGGCCTTAATACCAGTACAGGACTCAAAGTCGCGGCACTTGCACTAGGGCGTAAGATAGCTAACTTATAATCAGACTAAAGCACTTGTTGTAAGTTGGAAAGAAGACCCAGGCCAGGCAAAGCACTTGCTATAAGGGTTAAAAAACCTGTAACCAGGCGAAGCACCTGCTACAGGTTTGAAGAAGGGCCTAATGTAACCAGACAGAGCACCTGCTACAATAAGGCTAAAGCAAAAATAATTGTTAGAGCGCAGTCTCGCGACTCTACTAGCGTTGCTAGGCCAATGGTGACTTGGGCACAATTTAAGTAAGAGAAACAACAATAATTTTGAATCTCCCGTTCCCGTTATGGTAATTAATAACAGTCATTATGATTCGATCAATGCAGCAGCACAGTCATCCGCTGAATTGACAAAAAAAAAAAAAATCAAAAGTACTGGAGAATGGAGATCTCTCTTTGGCTTTGTCGAGTTTTATACGCTGCAGTTTTAAGTTCTTCATAATTAGGGGTTGATGTGAGCACCATCGTCTGTCCTCTCCTTATTTTTCGTCTCGAAGCACTTGCTTCGCCTGCTTTTGGTAATATGCTAATATGTCTTTCAGTGAATAATATAATTTTTTTTTAAGTCGTTTGGTTTTATTTCCTATTGAATTACATATTATTATTTTTTTTTGTTATATGGAATCAATTTGCCGCCCACTTGGCCCTCCCCCCTTAAGCCGGCCCTGCGTAAACGGATAAGGACGCCTGACCTTATCAACAATATAATACGTGAAATTGAATATTTGGCTCCTGCACGTAGGCACAAAAATTTCAAACGAAGTCAAATTTTCTGTGAAATATAATTATGAAATGCACACAAAACTAAAAAAATGTGTCATTTAGGTACATATTTTCTTATACCTATAGTTCCGATGAGTTAAGTCAAAAACATCTTTGGGCAAGTCCAACTTACACAAAAATGGATAATTTTGACAAAATTTCCTTATTAAGGATTGATTTTTCAAATATTATTTTATTTCAATGGCGGACAAGCAGATAGGACTTTGCGATATATAAAATGACCGAGTTAATAATCAATAATCTGCACCTTATCCTAAGCTAATGCGTTTTTTCGTCATAAAAATGGAATATGAAACCATAAGTAATAAAATCGTACCAACATAAACCTAGATTTGTTCTATATTGATAACCTATCGTAACCAGTTCCTTTTAATTAAGTTGGTTCAACGCTCTCACTTCTTGATTGGAAATTAGAAAGTTCTCTTCCCATTTCCCTTCTTATTCCCTTTCCTTCATGTCTGGTATAATTTCTCCGTTTTTACTAAATCTAGAATTCTTTTGCTTCTTCTGTAATATGTGAATGAAAGTTCCTGTTTTGTCCCATTTATCAAAAATCCAAATGCAACCTTACCTATTTAAATTATTAAAATATTTTTATATTATAGTGTACCTATATGATAGTGTCATATCTATTTATTTATTTTTTTGACTGATGACATTATTAACGAACGACGCAAAAAGCATGAGCTACCAGAGACCAATTTTAACGTTGGCCGGACGTTTTTCTACTACTCCTATCTGACCTTATGTCCCTTATGATTGGTCTTGTCAGACAACGTTTAAAAGGATTTTATTTCTGGAAATATAAGTCCGAATGAGCTGAAATTTCCAGGTATTGTAGTCCTCTACTGGGATAAGAATCGCTGGAAATTTCAGCTCTCTATCTTTAATAGAAAAAAAGTTATGAGCTTTCAAAGTTTTCCAAAATCTAAATCATAACATAACCTTCTTACTAAAACGATAAAATTTAATTTTTTTTTTTTTTGTTGAGATTTTGTGTCCTAATGGTCCTTCGGGATTCCCGTAACTCCATACATTAAAGTATCCCGAGATTTGGAGCCGGATTCTATGGAAAAAGGCACTCAGAAAAATTGGAAAATTGAAAAATTGATAAATCACCCCAAATTGCTTAACGCAATTTTATTTCTGAAACTATAAGTCCAAATAGCTAAAACTTTCAGGGATTGTAGTCCGCCACTGGGATAGGAATCGCTGAAAATTTCAGCTTTCTATCTCTAATAGAAAAAAAGGTTTGACTTTGTAAAGTTTTCCAAAATCTACGATGAAACGATGATGAAATTTCAACTTTTTTTTTGTTGAGATTTTGTGTCCCAATGGTCCTTCGGGATTCCCTGAACTCCATACACTAAATTATCCCGAGATTTGGAGCCGAATTCTATGAAAAAAGCACTCAGAAAAATTGAAAAATTGATAAATCACCCCGAATTGATTAACACAATTTTAATTGTTTCTGGAATTATAGGTCCAAATGAGCTGAAATTTTCAGGGATTGTAGTTCTCTACTGGGATAAGAATCGCTGAAAATTTCAGCTCTCTATCTTTGATAGAAAAAAAGTTATGACCTTTCGAAGTTTTCCAAAATCTATATCATATGGTAGCTACCTTCTTACTAAAACGATGAAATTTCAATTTTTTGTTGTTGAAATTTAGTGTCCTAGTGGTCCTTCGGGATACCCTAAACTCCATACACTAAGTTATTCCGAGATTTAGAGCCGGATTCTATGAAAAAAGGCACTCAGAAAAATTGAAAAATCGATAAATCACACCAAATTGCTTCAGAGGTCACAAGATATGTACCTATGAAGATAACGAAGAATTGACGTTTTTAATCCAAAGTTGATTTTGGTACAATATTATTGAATTTCCAAAAGCATTCTGTACAGTTACAGAACATGTTTGAAAACTTCAGAACCATTTTGGAATGCCCCAGAACATTCAAAATCCGATTTACAATTTCCAAAAGCAATTTAGAACAATTCAGAGCTTTGAAACACTTAGGATGCTCCAAAACACTCAAACAATCTCCAGAAACCTATTGAAGAGCGCCAGAATCTTCGGATTCAGGATTCAGGTTAAGTTACAAAACCCCATTGAGAAGGCGTTCCAAGAGCGAATTTAAATTGCTGTAGAAATTTAAACCTTTAATAAGCATCCAAAACAGTTCAAATCTAAATCAGAATTTTCAGGAGCATTCTGGAACAATTAGAAACTTCAGAATTATTTAAGAGCAATTTTTAGAGCATCAATGGGGCTCTAAGGTACTTAAAAAATCTGTCAGAACAATTTAGAAAGTACTGAATATTTCTAAAATGCACCAGAACTGTTCAAGCCAAGATAGAACACTTAAGAACTTCAACGTTTCAAAACACTTCCTTTGGAGGGAAAACGTCAACTTCTTTGCAGTACCTACCTATTTATGTTAACGTTATTTTGACATTAAATGTGTAGCTACAGTTTCCTGCCCAAATATTAATTTAGTTCTGGTGGTTGCTTTTATAGTTTCAGTTCCTCACGGTTGACCTAAAATCCTTTCCCGCTTTTTCGAAGAAATATTATTATTTGTTCGACCAAAGATGTCGTAATTTTCTCGATTTTTTGGGTCAACGGATGTAAAAATGTGAGGTCACATATCAAAGGATGGATGCCGAAACTTGTGTGGGCATTGAATAATTTTCAGATAAATCTGTCACTGGCAAATTCTGTAATTATTTATTATAATATGAACTTAGTGAACTTTTAATATTTTTAAGTTATTTGTATGTACAAATGGCAACTTTAATAATTATTTTTAATTTATTGCAAAATGCAATTTCCGGTTTCAGAGAATCACTAAATCAACCCATCGAGTTGAATGACCATTAAAAATATGCCTGCACAATGTGAACACAGTAACAGTAACCACTTACCAGTCTTGTCTTTATTCACAATTTTTCCAACAAATGGTTCCATATTTTGCACCATTAAAGCATCATCCTCTTGCTTGCCTAGCGTAGTTTTTTTAGAATCTCCCTCTAGCGGACGAAAGAAAGTACTAGCCAATGACGATTGCGGTACTTGTTGTGGGACAGCTTTGAAAAGTGGCTTATTCATTTCTAAAAGGCAAGTTTTTAGGTCAAATTCAAAAGATTCAAGCTCCATTAACTTGCCATCTTGAAACATAATGGCTTCAATGAATTGTTGAGATAAGTCATCATTATAAATGACAGCATCTTTTTCGGCTAGAAAATAATAAATTCAGCATATGACACGTGTAAAATAAAAGAATTACCATTATTTTCAATTTCCTCGCCAAACGGTTTTAGATTATCCACCAATGAAGCAATATCCAAATCATCCTCTTGCATGTTAAAGTTCCTATCGGTTAAGGAACTATTTCTGAAAATTTTACCATCCAGTTGATTTCGACTGACCATGGGCGTGGAAGTTTTTCCAGAATCTGCTTGTAGCGGACGCAAAAAAGTACTGGTAAATGGCGATTCTCTCACTTGTGGTGCTTGGAAAAGATTCTTGCTTTCTTGTTGCAAAATAGCTTCAAAATTTTGTGATATTGCACCGGATGATGGTTGTGATAAGTCATCATTTTGGATAGTACCACCATCATCTGGAAAATAAATAGTTCATTTCCTCATTGATCAAAGAGAAAACCTTACTATTCTCGTCATTATTCTCAATTTCCTCGGCAAACGATTCCAAATCTTCTACTATCGATGCAATATCGATATCATTCTCTTGGTGACGTGGAAAACTAAAACTCAACCTATCGGTGCTTACATGAGCAACATCGCCAGCGTACCTTTTTGAAATCGAAAACAAACTTGAGCTGTCCTCAAAACCTTTTGCGTCATGTTGAATTTGTGTAGAAGTTTTTGTAGAATCTTCTTGGAACGGACGGAAGAAAGTACCGATAAACGGCGATTCTTGTACTGAAGGAGGAACTCTAGGCAGTGAGGGGACTTGGAAAAAGGGCTCTAAAAGGCGAGTTAAAATGCAGTTCCAATTCATAACTTACCATCTTGCCGTATTTCCTGACTCAAAACTCTTTCTCTCATGTTGAGACTAGTAGTACTACACTGGCTGTTATCATAATTGAAATTTATTTCAGGCTCATTATTTGGAGGCAAATTAAAGAAATTATTATTATCAATTTCAGTGGATTGAGAAGAAATGTCTGGTGTGAATAATCCTCGCATGCGTGGCATGCTTTGGTACATCTAAAAAGAGATTCGTCAATAAGTTTTTTGATTATAATGTTCAGAAGAGACAAACCCCCTGACTTTGTTGTTGTATTCCAAGATCCCCCTGAGACGCTAAAGGATTTATTTGGGATTGGGAACCATCAAATATTGAATGATCCAGTACAACTAAGCCATTGTTCTGTGAATAGAATGTTTTGAAAATTATTATGAAGTTTTGAAGCTTCTTACCGAAACATCTTGAAACTGATTAATAATGTTTTGAGAATATTCATAGTCTTCAGTGCCAAGCTTCTGCATTTCACTGTCAAATTCGGCAATAAGTTCATTAAGTTGAGCCAAAGTGAATCTTTTGCGTAATTTCAATTTATTTAATTTGCAATCCAAGGCGTAACGAAGTCTGACACGTTTGTCTATTGAGGGAAAATTAGGATTCTATAAAAAAAATAAAAGTATTAGTGTGGAAATTTTACGATTGCCTTACATACATTGGCTTTTGGGACATAAGATTCCTGCAACTGATCAACATGCTTCATAACTTCCTCCGGCCAAATACCTCTGACCATATAGATTCCATAACCCCTTATACTTGTAACACCTGGAACTAAGCTGAATTTGAAATTCAGCTTCAAGGCTTTGGGGTCACGAGTTTCTCCAATAGGGACTGTTTCCAATTGCCATCTAAACAACACAACAACTTATTAAAAAGGAAGCAAAATTACTTCTAGGCTTTCTCACACTTTAATATTTATGAACAATTCTGCTAGTTTGGTGAGCATTATAAAATGGGTGGTAACAAAGGTGAAAGCCTTCGATCTAGCCAGGGTGTCGCAAATTTGCATTGCGATCGCTGTGCCTTCTTCCATGGAGGTTGATCTGGAATTGGAACAATTATTGATAAGTTCTTGGAGGTAGTTTGGGAAGGCATCATGTTTCAAGAAATCCTTGCATACTCACCGACAAAGTTCGTCAATTATAATCAAGGAATTGTCAGTCATTGTGGTCAGGATGTAGTCTACTTCAGTCATCTAGAAATTATGATAAATGAATGGCAAATAAGACAAACATAATAGTTTTTTTTTTCTGTTATTTGCTGAGAATGGAATTACTAGTGATCTTATGTTAATAATATGAAATATTGGTGATAACAGTAGTATGTGGACTTAGACCATCCGCATCTGAAGAACTAGAAAAGATCGCCAGCGTTCAAAAACTATCAATGAATGAGATTCTTGGTTTTGTGCCTAAAAATACTTATAGTAGACACGTGTAGCTATTATGTGGATAATCATTTTGTTTAGATTAGAAAACACTTCGGCAATATATCAAAAGACCAATGATGATTTATTTAAAAAATGTATATTTTTTGATATGGATCATTTATAGATTAATGAAAACAGAACATGTAATCAATCATAGAGTTTGTTTTTTATTTAAAGATAATTCCCCAAGTCAAAAATTTAGTAACTATGTTGGCAACACAAGCCTTTTCTACATGAAAAATTTGAGATCATTGACAATTTTACATTGTATTGCCAACATAATGTCATTTTGACTTTTATCTTTAAAAAAAAAATAGACTTTATATGTTTAATACCAGTAAATTTCAAATGTTCAAGGGGCTGTTAGTTCATATTGTTGTTGTATACCTAAGGCAAAGTCTTAAGTTATTATTGTTAGTACATTAATATTAATTTGTATTTACTAAATATTATAAACTACTCCTTTGTCTCATAGAACAGATACTCAAATATAGACGCAACAATTAGCTATTTGCATAATGGGACCATGCAAATTGATACTAGACTAATATCTTCCAATGATATTAGCCTTATCACCAAATTAGGGTTGTTTACGAAATACTGGAAAACAACCCCATTAAAGTGTAGATTTATATTATCACTTTTCTTTGTAGTTTAAGATATAAATATGTCCCTAGTCTTAAGGAACTTCATTATATATTATCATCGTTATTATCGTCATTGTCATATTATTCTCGGCATCGATACATTATATGGTAGTTATTTTATGTTACCATCTTGTATTTTATTTACTCCAAGTCCAAGAAAGAATATTCAATCCCAGAGGCAACACGTCACGAGGAACACAACAATATGTTTGTAGAAATTGATGAATGTACCTATAGTTTAGGAGTAAAGACTACTTGAATAGTTGTTTATTAAAACTCAAGATGAATTACAAAAAGTTGCATTTTTCTTTTAACTATATTTCGTGTATACAATGTTTCAAACTTGCTGGGTAACATCCTTATGTCATTATCACAGATCACCCATTATAATAATGAACCTGCATTCTTGCCTTGGGTCTGATAAATTTCCTCGAGACGCCCTTGCAACTTAAACTTGTTCGTCCCCAGCAAAATTAAAAAAATATACCTGTTTGAAGATACAATTTAAAAACGGGCTGGATTGTTTTGAAATTAAATTACATTTATGTACAGGGTGAGTCACCATATTTTGACACCCACCTGCAACAGTAGTTACAGGTGATAGGTAAATAGTGTGAACATAAAATACTTTAAAGTTTCAGAATTTATAGATTGGAAAGAATTCGCTTTATTGTCAGAAAATTTTGCAATTTTGTGGACAAAGCTGAAAAAATAAAAAACAAAACATACAAATGCAAAAGCACAGACAAAACCAAACACTTGAACAAATAGTTCATGGTCAAAATTTGATTAAAACTAATTGGAGTCTGTTTTATCAGGCACAATGAATCTAGAGGTCGGAAACTATTGTTTTCCATGAAAACACCTAGAGAAAATTAAAAAATACCTCGAATACCTAGAGAGTCTCTGAAAAAAACTTTTCTCAGTCACAGTGACTTTAAAGTTTCAGAATTTATAGAATTGAGTCTGTTTTATTAGGAAAAATAAACCAGAAGTATGACACCTTAAGAAAATTAAAAACGGGTCAATTCGTCTTACGGTACGTTAATTTGTCGTAAAATCAATAGGTACGCCGTAAAGCCAATTTGCCAATTCGTTGTAAAGTCAATTTGTCGTATAAGTCAATCGTCGTAAAGTCAATTCGTCGTATATGCCAATTCGTCGTAGCGTTAATTTATCGTATACGTCTATATTCGTCGTATTTTAGGTATTCTGTTAAAATGTATAAATTTACATTTGCGACCTAACCCAAACTAACCAGGTTACTATCGGTAAGTTTGATAATTTGGCCTATGATGTATCATTTTCTGTTATTATAACAGCAACGTTAGGTTGCCTGTCACTGTTTATTCTATACATCAAAATAAAGAGATGCATAGATGTTGAGCTATAACATAGCTGGTAAAATAACAGGAGTGAAGTAACATCATAAGCCTGAATGTCTGATTAAAATTGAAAGCTATTAACACGTTAATTCGGCGTATACCTGAATTCGTTGTATTGTTAGTTCTTCGTATTTCAGGTATAGTTGAAATGTATGCACTTTTATAGACCAGGCAAATTTCATTTTATAAATGAAGTTCAAGGGGACAGTTTTTTTCAAGGGAAATCGATGTATTATATGTCCAGGAACAAATATATAAAAATCCCAAAAAATCCATTGTGAGCTAAAAACGCCATCTTGAAAAAAACATGGCCGTTCATTTAAATCTTCAAAAATCAAATATCTTTTTGTCCCTTAGAGCAATTTTAACACAAGATCCTCGTCTAGAACACAAGCATATTTGAAATCTATTCCACTGCAGTGAAAGCATATCGAACTGTAGCCTTCTGGTGCAAAAGATAGCTGCATTGTGATTGAAAACGTTTAATTTTTCGATACCATCCAAAATCGGGGGCAGATAACGATTGAGTGAGAACAGTATTTCAACATTGGAAGCTAGTGCAGATGCGGACACCTTAATTGTAAACACAGCCATTAGCTTGGCAGAAGAACTAGTGAATAAGTCGGTAGTGGTATTCGGGCAAAACACAGATTTGATCGTTTTAATTGCTTTGCTTCCCAAAAATATGTTGCTTAAGACCATCTTTGGTTGTGGAAGAAGCATCTGCTTAGCTATAACAATATTGTAAATCCTATATATCGTTCGTCATAACTGTCTCGGGGCCCATATAAAGCCCGGGACACTTCTATCATGCATTCTTCCGATCCGACTCCGATCCTAAAATCAGGGTCCTTATTCTTAGAACAAGGAGCAGCGTTCCCCAGGAGAACGAGTGTTCCACTGCTCCCCTGTTCCAAGAATAAGACCTTGATTGTATGATCGGAGTCGGATCGGAAAAATGCATGATAGATGTGTCCCAGCCTTAATCCGTACATAAAAGAGGCAAATTTAAAACCAACGTTTAGTAGTTCATCTAGATCTGCATTCTTATCACTGAAAACTAACAATTTGTCATGCATAAATTCATGCTTCTTAAACACCTTCAGCGCAGACGATTTATCTTACTTATAGGAATAAGAAGTAGTATCACAACCACTAATGGCAAATGGCATTAATTATTGAATAAAAAGGAGGCAGTTAACAAGAGGCTGCCCCAAATCCACACAAAATTTTTTCAAACTGGAAAATTTCTTCTTCATTGTTGCTGCGACCTACTTTTTCATTGTCTTCCCCAATACTCTACTACTGACTTTTTTTTACTATACAGGGTGTTTCACGAACATCGAAACGACTTTCACTGCTCTTTTTCAAATAAGGAAGATGGGTCGAGTGATAGCTTGCTAAAAGCTATTTTGATTCTCGTCACAACTGCGTATTTTTTGGAAATCGAATGATTAGTTCTCAAGACCTTCACTGTCAAAGTAGTTTCCATGGGCTAAGTAAGTAACAATCTTCTGGCCCTAATATTCTCCAATTAACACTTTCCTGACTTTCCCTCGGACACGTCAATTTTAATTTTTTGTGTCCTTCTGAAAAAATTAAGTGACGTGTCCAAGACAAAAGTCAGGAAAGTGTTAATTTGAGAATAACAGGGCCAGAAAATTGTTTCTCATCAAGCCCATGGCAACTTTGACAGTGAATATCTCGAGAACCAATCATTCGATTTCAGAAAAATACGCAATTGTATCGAGAATCAAAATACTTTTAACAACAAGGTACCACTCAACCCATCTTCCCTATCTAAAAAAGAGATGTGAGAGTCACCCCACCAGGATGTGCACCCTAGCGCAATACCGATGGGGTCAAAAACTTTCCCCCTTGAATACAAAATTGTCGTGTCCGAGCGTTTTTCTTTAAATCGACCCTAAAATACCCCAAAACACCTCTGTTTCGATGTTCGTGAAGCACCCTGTTTATAGGTAGCCTCTAACGTTGAAATATGTACTGTAATCTCTAAATTTTTTTTCGAAGTACTTACCCTCGTACCTACCTAATTGTATTAATTAAACTTTTTTCTTTCCATGGCCTAGAAAATTTGCGAATGGTGATTATATTGATAGCAAATAATTTTTCCTATATTTTCAGGACATATCATCTTCAAGTACAACAATGGAAGAGAAATCTCCTAGCGTTATTCATATTTTTTTTTTCAGAAAATGTATGTTCTTTATGTGATTTTTTTGTAATTTTAAAGTCAAAATTTCGTGAAAAAAAAATAATCAAATTGATCCGAGGCAAGATAATTAATTTTTGGAGATCTGAACGGACGGCCATGTTTTTCAAGATGGCGTTATTAGCTCACTTCCGATTTTTTGGGATTTTTAGATTTATATTCTATGATAAGAGAGCTATCGTTTTCAACAACAAAAAAAAAGGTCCGCAAAAACTTCACATTCATCGTACATTTTTGATATTTGCCTGGTCTATTACTGTTTATTCATCAGAAATTACCAAACTTGCCGATAATAACGAGGAATTACCTAAATTGTGGTATACGTCAATTCGTCGTGTACGTCAATTCTTCATATTTCAGGTATAATGTTAGTAATGTTAAAATGTATAAATTTGCACTTTTTCTGTCAATGTTCACTTTTTTCAAAGGGAATGCCTTTTATTTTATTTCAAATTCTTAAAGTTCTCGTTTTTCTGAGTCAGAATGTAATATGTTAATGTTTCTTTCAATAGTTTTGATAATATCTGGAGTTTAGTTAATTATTCAAAGACAGTAAGTTTTTTGAAAATAGGTATTATACCTTGATTTACCTGTTACCTGTCACAAAACATTCTAATACCTGAAAATTTCAGCTTTCTATCTTTAAAAAAATTTTGACCTTTCACAGTTTTCCAAAATCTAAATCATAAGGTTAAGCTACCTTCTTACTGAAACGATGAAATTTCAATTTTTGTTGTTGTTGAGATCTTGTGTCCTAATGGTCTTCTGGGATCCCCCAAACTCCATACACTGAATTCTGAGATTTGAAACCGGATTCTATGAGAAAAGGCACTCAGAAAAATTGAAAAATTCAAAAATCACCACAAATTGCTTAACACGATCTTATTTCTGGTACTATAAATCCAAATGAGCTGAGATTTCCAGGGATTGTATTCCTCTACTGGTATAAGAATCGCTGAAAATTTCAGCTTTCTATCTTTAATAGGAAAAAAGCTACCTTCTTACTAAAACCATGAAATTTCAAATTTTTTTTTGTTGAGATTTTGTATCCTAATGGTTCTTAAGGATCCCCCAAATTACATACACTAAATTATTCTGAGATTTCGAGCCAGATTCTATGAAAAAGAGCACTCAGAAAAATTGAAACATTGATAAATCACCCCAAGTTTCCTAATACGATTTTATTTCCGGTACTATAAGTCCAAATGAGCTGAAATTTTCAGAGATTTTATTCCTCTACTGGTATAAGAATCGCTGAAAATTTCAGCTTTCTATCTTTAATAGGAAAAAAGCTAGCTTCTTACTAAAACGATGACACTAACAGTGTTGCCGTTGGCTGGATAATTCCCCAAAAATCGGGTATTTTCGACTAGTATTCGGGTAAAATCGGGTAATCGGTAAATACAGCACTATTCTTTTTTTATTTTATTTTTTATTTTTAACTAATATTTTAAAATTCTGAATCCGCGGGCCAGATTTTCACATTGAAATTGAAAGTGCAACTGTGTAGACGGCAAACTAAATTGAACTGATAGCGATTTTCATTTGCAGAATCAGTGCAAAATGTGTCTTTATCCTTTTATTTTACATAATTTTAGAAAAACATGCGAATACATTCAATTCGCAGTTTTCAGTTTCAATGTGCAGGTAAAATTAGGTATTTTGTGAGATTGGAAAGGGTAATGAGAATTTTCAGGTCCGGCAACACTGTACTCTAAATCATTTTGTGATTTGGAGCCGGAATCAATGAAAAAAGGCACTCCAAAAAATTGAAAAATAGATAAATTACCCCAAATTACCCCTATTAGATTCAATAAAACATTATACAACTGTGCTAAAATGTTTTATACTTCTGTGAAATTTAAAGTTTTGACAACCATTGTAAAAGGGTTATTGGATATCATGCCGATGAACACCGACAAACAGAAATGTATAATAAAATAGGGTCGGAAAAGGGTAATTCCAATGTTTGCGCGGTAATGAGTAACTCGTCGAAAATATCAAATATACTAAAAGACATAGGCGCCAGAACCATGGAGGCAATGGGGGCTAATGGGAGGGGGGCTTGAATTTTCTATGGGGGCGGAGCCCTTATAGTGATTTAGGTATTGTATGTGGTGGGAAGGGGTAGGTAGGACAATATTGAGTTCCTAACTAAGTATTTATTTTTATATCAAATTTGTGTGTTTTATGTTTTCGTTGTTTTTGCTATACCTATACATTAACAAACAGTTTGAATATTTTGTTGTGTAATATTTAAACCTGTATTTTCAATGAGTCGTTGGATTATTATTTCCTTTCCGTTTGTTATCATGGAAAAAAATTCAAAAATTCGCTGATGGCGAACCGATGGTCCTATCGAGCTGAAATTTGGTACGAATCTAATGGACTACGATTTTCATCGAAAAAAATATTCGGGGCCCCTATTTGGAAAGCAAAGCCCCTTGGGGGCCCCTAAATGTTTTTTTTGGCCGATTCGGATGAAATTTGGAATATAGGTGATAGGGGTTCAGAAAAGTTGATATTCCAAGTTTCAGCCCTCTCCGATCTACCGGAGGGGTTTTACCTCTATTTCCCCAATTTTGGAAAAGTGCGTGTAATGGTGCATACACGCTCTGCACTTACTTTTCCGTATTTTGAAAAATAAAAAACACCACCGGATAGAGGAGCCAAAAATATGTCGAAAATGTCTCTTGGTGTTTTTCGCTCCGACGCTTCGTAAGCCCGAAAAAAAATATAAAAGATTTTGATCCTGGAAAATTTTGGGGACCCGACACGGCGCCACTTTTTCGCTTATAACTTCTTTATTGGAGTTCTTGGCTCCTGTTCCTCAAAAGGAGAACATGCTCTGCCATGTTTTCGGACAAGATAAGGACAGTCTATAACCAGTTTGCTGTCAGCACCAAATCCAGAATTTACAGGCTTCAATCATTTCCGATCACGTTACAGCGTGGAAACTCAGAATCACATTGTTTCTTCGGAGTTTTGAAATAAACTAATTTCTGGCATGCTTGACAACACTGTCTTTATTCCAACATTGACGTCACGTTCTGTATTGATTTTGATGAAATCAAATAAGGACGAGATTACTGACGTAAAATAGGTATAAACTGGCTGCAGTTCCACAGAGTAGATTCTTTTTTTCGACTACTGAGCGCCTGATAATCATACTAAACGATGACAAAAGTATACATCGTATCTGGTTGCAGAACTCCCATAGGTACATACATATTATTAGAAAAATTATTCATAAGATTTTTGAAAAATATAGCTCTTTATTATAGGTAAATTCCAGGGACAGTTTGAGCAACATTCAGCTGTAGAATTGGGTACCATTGCTGTAACTGAAGCTATAAATAGAGCTAAACTATGGCCAGAAGATGTTGAACAATGTATCATGGGACAAGTGAGTAAAAATTTTTTCTTAACCAGTTTGATAAAGGGGCTATTTGCCCGTCAAATAATGCGGTATTTTTCTACAAGCCTGTTATTTGTCTGTTAACTATCCTTAAAAAATAAAAGCTATATCTGTTAGCCCAAAGGAATATTTTAAGAGTAGGCTCAGTCTCTAATAGCAGAAGGTAATTGGATTTCTGTAAACTCAATTAACTCGATTTCTGATGACCTGGAGAAAGTACCTACTTTGGTATTTTTTACAGGAAACAGCCTTTGACTTGGTGCAAGAGAACATTTTCACACTAACTTGTAGAGCAAATATTTTCTGTATTAAACTTTATACATATTCTTTGTTTTAGGTCCTTACTGCAGGCCAAGGCCAAAATCCTGCCAGACAAGTAGCCCTCAATGCAAAAATGCCCTGCGAAACCTCTGCTTATACCATCAACATGTTGTGCGGATCTGCTTTAAAGTAATAACAATCAATTTGAGGTTTACTTTTACCTGAACCCTTTTCTATAAGATCCGTAGCTTTAGGGTTTCAAGGAATCAAAAATGGCGATTACAGTATTATTGTAGCAGGAGGTCAGGAAAATATGACAAGAGCTCAACACACTACTCACCTGAGAGGAACCAAACTTGGTGCTTTGGATTTGAAAGATTCGCTTTTATTGGACGGTTTGACTGATGTTTTTCATAATGCACACATGGGAGACACAGGTAAGAATTGATATAACACTCATTAGAAAAAAAAAAATTGTTATTTATACACTTAGCTGAGCATTTGGCTAAAAGTTACAAAGTATCCAGAAAAGATCAGGACGAATACGCGCTAAACTGTCAACAGAAAACAGCAGAATCGCTGAAAAATGGATATTTTGAAAAGGAAATTGTTGGAGTACCCCACAAAAGAACCAAAGACTTGATTGTCAAGGACGAATTTGTCAATCCTAAATGTACAATTGAAAAATTGAGCAAATTACGTCCTGTTTGGGATCAGGTAAGAAATTTCAGTGGCACAAAAGTGACCAGAAATGGATTTTGTTTACTATTTTCAGACTTCTGGTACAGTAACAGCGGGAAATTCTTCAGGAATAAACGATGGTGCAGCTGCAATGATTCTGGCAAGCGAACACCAAATCAAATGCAAAAACCTGAAACCATTGGTGGAAATTATTGGTTTTGCCGAAGGCGGTCTTGAACCCATGTCAATGGGCTTGGGACCTATTCCTGCCATAAAAAACTTGGTAAAATCCCAATAAAACCCCCCAAAATTTTGATAATAGTTACTTTTTTGATAGCTTCAAAAAATAGGTTGGACGAAAGACGATGTTGACCTCTATGAAATAAACGAAGCTTTCGCAGTGCAAAGCATGATTTGTATCAAAGAGCTTGGACTTGATTCGAGCAAGGTTAATGTAGCTGGAGGGGCTCTAGCTCTGGGACATCCTATAGGAGCTTCGGGCAGTAGATGCTTGGTGACTTTGATTTATAATTTGTTGCGTTTGGGTAAAAGTAGAGGGGTGGTTTCGTTGTGTATTGGGGGCGGTATGGGTATCGCTATGGCAGTCCAAACTGTTTAAGTACCTACTGTGAAATGTAAAATATTAGGTACCTGAAGTATAAATTTACATTAAGAAAATTTGATAATTGTATAGGTAATGTATTTTTTCTACCTATTCTGCCTATTCATAATCTTGTGATAAAATTGTGAATATTGAAATTCTTTCCAGATGGGTATACTGTTTGCCATCATCATGTGAGTCTCAAATTTCATGGGATTTGGTGTAATGTACACCGAACGACCATCGAGGAATTTTCTGGGAACCCAGTGGGCTTTTAGCTTTTTGTGTCAAACATCCTCATTCCTATCGTACAGTGTCAAATATCAATCCAAAATTTAAAATTAGGTATTCATATTTTTCTTATCCATGTATATTAAGCAAAATGAAAATCCTAGAGAAAAATAGTCGACTAATAGGTATTAATCAGAAGGAACTTTTCTCAAGATAATTACTAGAAGTACCCAACACAACTAGAAAAAGAGTTGCATCATCTATGCTACCATCAAATTTGAAATCTGACGTTTCATCTTTGGGCCACCATGAATATTTCCGGTATATATAGGTATACTTATATCCAGTATTTTGTTGAGCATAAAACTGCGCAACTTACAATTTAATCGACCTTGTATCTCTTATGGTTTCCGAGATACATATACTCGAATTTGTAACACCCTGTAGAACATTATTATTATATCATATTATTAGAGATAATACAATATCACACAAGAGAAAATAGCCAGTACAAGTAGGTGCTGTATCACAAAGTTTTTGCATTTATGAATATATTAGTTCTAAATTGCAGAAAAAGCCTTTTCCTTGTATAGTCCTAGAATAACCATCGAAGATCAGCTGCTTCAGCTTACACTTGAAGCATAAGTTATGTTCAATCTTTTAACAAATTCTGGAATTCGATTGTAGTATCTTAGTCCTTCTGATAAGATGCTGCGTTGGCCAGTTGTATTGTTCATTGTCGACGTTCTTAAGTTTTCATTGAGTCTGGTATTGTGGATGAATTGTATTGGCTGGGATGAGACTTATTGTATAGTGAATATTGGAAGTCAGGTCTTCAGGATACCATTCGGATAATATAGGATACCATTCGGATAATATGCGTAATGGTAATTCCAATTGCTGGTGTAATTTTTTTACATACATACATGCAAGATGTGCATATCCCAAGTAAGTTTCGAATTGACAAAGAGTCCCAGGTATTTGATGCAGTTTGCACGATTCAATGGAAGACCTTGAAACTTTATCGTGAAATCAGCCAATCGCTCATTTTTTGTGAGTATTCTTCAATGATGATTTTTAAGTTAGCGGGGTCCTTGTCAATGAGAAATGTGATTTTTTTTTTGAAGTTAGCAACAAACTTCTTAAATCCGAGATTTAAAGTGCTTATTTCACATTTGAGATAATCCATTTTGAATCCAATCCTACAAATTTGGAGGATTCTAAACCACAGTAGCGCTGAATCTCTAATACCAAGTAAGTGTGTCAAATATTGCCACCTTAACGTTTGGTAGTGATTGAATCCTATACTTTTATTATTGAAGGAATACAAATCTGGGTACGAGTAAAGAAATGCATTGTTTAAATCATATATTTTATTCACCTCAAAAAACTTAATAGAAATGAAGATATTGAAAGTTTTAGTTGAAATTGAGAATAGCAATATTAGAATCACAACTCTCCCTATTATTGCCACCCTATGTCAATATTAGGAACATACGAACAAGAGATAACAAAATTTTCTGACAAAAAAAAAATTAAACTCAAGAATATTGAGCACAGATAGAGTTTTTTTTGTCATCCTTAGTCAGGCCTACACAGACCTCGTGAACATATCGACAGCAAACTAGGCACAAGCGCATATTTAGTGATGGCAATATTAGGAACAAATGACGTCCAGAAAAAAAAATCTCTAACCTCGAAACCCACTTGAAATAATTCATGTAATTCATAAAACAAGAGCCACTGGAATGTACTTCTCTGTACTTAATAACAAAAATCCAGTAAATGTAAATTAAGATTGCGTAGGGTCAACGTGAGAAGTTAATTTTCTTATAGCGCGGACAGGAAAAACAAATGTCGTCTGACGTTAAGCATAGACTAAACCGCCGAATAGAAAACTAATCGTTGACAAATCAAAGTACCTGCTACTGCTGCCACCTACATGCAGCATCGATACTAGCTGAGTAACGAGGGGTCACCATATTAGGAACAGTGGCAATATTTAGCGCACCTACCTGTTTATTCAAACACCTCCACGATTTTGTGATTTACTGTATCAAAAACTCTTCTTAAGTCCAGCGAGACAAGTACACACTTATAGCTCTTATCAACCTTCTCATAAATATTTGTAATTAGGTCTCTAGTTGCTGAGGAGGTATTGCTGTGTTTTCTAAACACATATTGACCCATGGCACACCAAAAATGTATTTATTCCATCCAAATAACAGGTCTCCAATACCTTAGACATAGCTGGGAGCAAGGAAATGGGCCTGTAGTTGTTTAGTTCTGTGCTATCAGCAGCCTTAAATGAACAAATTTCAAAATATTGAGAAGACACGAGAGACTGGAATAGACATTACTTGTCTGATGATTTTCTCTCAAATCTCTTGACTCTCTCAATTTTTGTCTATTCCTGGCTCTTGAATTTTTGTTGCATTCCAAACTTCTTTAAATTAACGAAGGTAAAAAAATAGAGATAATAAGAGAGAATTTTCATATTCCTCCATAATATCATGACATTGTACCTTTTACGACCCTCGAATACTTTCCCAAATAATGTCTCGCCGTCGCCGAAAGCTTCAGTCGTAGAAACACATTTTGTTAAAACTCTCTCTAAAATAAGTCTTACTTTTGCTGTAGTTCAATTTCATTCTATATTCCATTACCTAATAAAGCTACAAGTTTCAAACCAAAAACAAAAGTAGTTTTAACCAAGGCAAAACACTGAAGGATCACAACAGAATTACGAAAGAATTACGGCACTACTTGTCTAATTTTTTATCTATTTCTTAAATTCTGCTTCTCAGTTTTTATCAATTCCTGGCTCTTGAATGTTTACTTCCTTCCAAACTTTTTAATTGAACAAAATTCAAAAAATTGAAAAAATACTAGAGACTAGAATAGATGTCTGATGATTTTTTCTCAAATTGTCTCAAACTTCTTTATTTTTCTACTTCTCTGTCTTAATTTTTTTCTATTCCTGGCTGTTGACTTTTTGTTTCCTAACAAACTTATTTGAATGAACGAAATTCAAAAATATAGAGAAAATACGAGTGCCTGGAATAGAAAAACTTAACGGCAATAATAGTTGTCTGACAGTATTTTCCCAAATTGCCTCCATCTGTTTCTTAAAATCTACTTCTCAGTTTTTGTCTATTCTTGGCTCTCGAATGTTTGCTTCCTTCCAAACTTCTTCAAATGAACAAAATTCAAAAAATTGAGAAAACACGAGATACTGGAATAGACATTACTTGTCTCATGGTTTTTTCTCAAATAACCTCAAATTTCTTGTTTATTTTTTAACTTCTGTGTCTCAATTTTTGTCTCTTCCTGGCTCTTAAATTTTTGTTTCATTCTAACTTCTTTTAACGAAGGTCTAAAAATAGAGATAATAATAGGAGTGCCTGGAATGGAAATTTTACGAAAAAATTACGGCATTACTTGTCTGATATTTCTTGAATTGCCTCTAATTTTTCATCTAATTTTTCATCTAATTTCTTAATTTCTGTTTCTCTCAATTTTTGTCTATTCCTGGCTCTTGAATTTTTGCTTCCTTTCAAACTTTTTCAAATGAGCAAAATTCAAAAAATTGAGAAAGTACTAAAGACTCAGATGTCTGATGATTTTTTCTCAAATTGTCTCAAACTTCTTCTTTATTTTTCTACTTCTCTGTCTTAATTTTTTTCTATTCAAGGCTGTTGACTTTTTGTTTCCTAACAAATATTTGAATGAATGAAATTCAAAAATAATGACAAAATACGAGAGCCTGGAATAGAAAAACTTAACGGCAATACTTGTCTGACAGTATTTTCTCAAATTGCTTCCAATGTCTCATTTATTTCTTAAATTCTGCTTCTCAGTTTTTATCTATTCGTGGCTGTTGAATATTTGCTTACTTCCAAACTTCTTCAAATGAACAAAATTCAAAAAATTGAGAAAACACGAGAGACATATTACTTATCTGATGATTTTCTCTCAAATTTCTTGTTTATTTTTTAACTTCTTTGTCTCAATTTTTGTCTATTTGCCTGGCTCTTGAATTTTTGTTTCATTCTAACTTCTTTAAATGAACGAAGGTCAAAAAATAGAGATAATAGGAGAGCCTGGAATAGAAATCTTACGGAAGAATATCGGCATTACTTGTCTGATAATTCTTGAATTGCCTCTAATTTTTCATCTCTTTCTTAATTTCTGTTTCTCTCAGTTTTTGTCTATTCCTGGCTCTTGAATTTTTGCTTCCTTCCAAACTTCTTTAAATAAAGGAAACACCTTTGCCATAAACAGATTTATCAACTTAGATTAAGAAGGCGATATTTCATTTTTCAATTCCTCGATTGTATCAATGCCCAAACTGTCAGTTCCAGGTGATTTTCCTGCAGTGCCCTCCTCTGTAGTCACAGGTTCCCATTGATTTATATAGGTAAGCACTAGTAGAAGTTAGTTGGAGTTGAGGAGAAAACATTGCGTTCTGCAGCAATTCCAGAAAAGTATTAGTTTAGCAAGTTGGCAACACCCTGTGGGTTCTACTCAGTGTGTCCTTCATGTACTAGCTTATAGCAAGAGGTCATTTCTGGGTTTGCAGTTGTAGTTGATAGTATCAAAGAATATTATAGACTAACGTCTATACGTTAGTCTATAATATTCTTTGATAGAATTTAGTGTTCTTCATATATATTTAACATCATTCCCTGCTTTACTGATTTCGGCATTATAATAAGCTGTTTTTGAGTCAATTAGGGATTTTCTATATTTTTTTTGGGTTGATTTGTAAAGTTCAAGTAGATAGGCACTATGTGGAAACATTCTATACGTCGTTGATAGTGAAAATCCCTCATTCTCATCAATTCTTTAGTAGAATGCCAATGCCTCCACCTCTCTTATTTCTACTATCATAAATTGATTTGTAGTCCAGGGTTGCCAACTCTTCGGTTTTAACCCGGAGTCTCCGGATTTTCAAGATAATTTTCCGGTCTCCGGATTCCATGTATATTTATCTGGGTAGAACTCGGAACTCGTAGGAGTTATATAAAAACCAAGATACAAACATAAAACATGTTTCCTGAAAAATTCATGCGACTTGAATGGCATGCCGGCATGATAACGTCGTAACAACATATTTCAACCTCAAATTGCGTAATATAAACTCTTTCGCGAAATTACCAAATACTGGCAAATACAGAGAGACAACGTGATAGAAGGTCTGTTCTCACTGAGATCACAAACCAGTCAGAGCTAATTTCATTGGTTGAAAATAGTCAGAAAACTGGTTGTTGGCGATTCGCACGAATAAAAAACGCTCTGACTCGTTTCTGATTATTGTGAGAGCAGACCTAAAAACACAGCTCATGGGGTCTGTTTTCAGTTTAATATTGGAATGATTGGGTGATGAATTTGGAATGAAATATTTATTTTTAGTTTTTGATTTTTTTATGTTTGTTTTGCTGTTTCAATTCGCATATTCTTGGGAAACTCCATTTTTAATCCAGTCGCGGAAAAATCTCCAGATGAACATGAACCAATTGTAAAAGTTGGCAACCTTGATTTGTACCCATCAGAACCAAAATAGGCAGCTTCGTCTGGAGATAGCCAGGTTTCAGTTATAACAATAGCATATGGAATAAGATTTGAACTATTTACCAAAGCTTCTATACTATTTCATTTACCTCATTTCTAATCGACTGAGCATTCAAATATAAAAAATAGAAAAAATTATACAATTTTGATTAGCTAAGTAAACACAAAAACTATCACAATAACCCGGAAAAACCCAATAGAAATATTTCAAAAACTTGGATTTTTGCCAACCTTGTTGGAACAAGGCTTGGATAGGCCAAAGGTGGATGATTGAAATGACTAAACATATCAATTTGCAGCAAAGTCTAGGTACTGGTTTGCCAGATTAGATTCCCAGAGTTGACTCTAAATTGCTTAACGCGATTTTATTTCTAGGAGTATAATGGCTGGTTTATACAACATTTGCATAGTCGTAATCATAATCATAGTCTTAGTCATAAGAGTTAAAATAATATTTTCTTATGGAACCGTTTATACACAAATCATAATCATAAGCATAAGCATAAGCATAACTCAAAGTTGGCAACTTTTAACTTTATGATTATGACTAAGACGAGATCCAAACTGCGCAAGCGCCATTATCAGCTGATACGGAGAAAAACAATTCAAATCTGCTATTTTAGTTCTGTTTGTATTTAAATTGATCTTGGGTCATTCTAGAGTATTTAAAAAAAAGGGTCTCCATCGAGCTTCTACATGTCTTTGAATAATGTGGCAAAATGCCCTTCCTTCTGCCTTTTTTCATTGATGGGACTCACTTTCCACCTTCTTTGTTTATGGTTTGCGTTTGTTGAAGTGTTTATTAGCAAAACTCAAAAATAAATAGGACAGACCTATCACTTGTATGGTTTTCTTTCGCAGAATTTTAATTTCCACACTTTTTGAAACTTTGAAAAAGTATTAAAAGTGAATAGACGAGTTCGATTCGCAAAAAGTAAACAAATTCTCCCTACAAAAAGTCGGGTTAGAGTTGAATTTATTTTATGCTTATGACATTGTATAAATGCCTTCTAAAATTGTGATTATGATTAAGACTAAGACTAAGACTATGATTATGATTACGACTATGCAAATGTTGTATAAACCAGCCATAAGTCCAAATGAGCTGAAGTTTTCAGGGATTGTAGTCCTCCACTGGATCGCTGAAAATTTCAGCTTTCTATTTATAATAGAAAAAAGTTATGGGTCTTCAAAAGTTTTTGAAACTCCAAATCATAAGGTAGCTAGCTACCTTCTTACTAAAACGATGAAATTTCACAATTTTTTTTGTTGAGATTTTGTGTCCTAATGGTCCTTTGGGATCCCCCAAACTCCAAACACTAAATTATTCTGAGATTTGGAGCCAGATTCTATGAAAAATGGCACGCGGAAAAATTGAAAAACTGATAAATCACCCCAAATTGCTTAACACGATTTTATTTCTGGAACTATAAGTCCAAATGCGCTGAAATTTTCAGGGATTGTAGTCCGCCACTGAGATAAGAATCGCTGAAAATGTCAGATTTCTATCTATAATAGAAAAAAAGTTATGACCTTTCAAAATTTTCCAAAATCTAAATCATAAGGTAGCTACCTCAGTACTAAAACGATGAAATTTCAACCAAAAAAATTGTGGAGACTTTATGTCCTAATAGTCCTTTGGGATTCCCCAAACTCCAAACACTAAATTATTCTGAGATTTGGAGCCGGATTCTATGAAAGGAGGCACTCAAAAAAATTGAAAAATTAATAAATCATCCCAAATTGCTTAACACGATTTTATTTCTGGAACTATAAATCCAAATGTGCTGAAATTTTCAGGGATAAGAATCGCTGAAAATTTCAGCTTTCTATCTTTAATAGGACAAAAGTTATGACCTTTCAAAGTTTTCCAAAATCTAAATCATAAGGTAATAGCAAAGTCTTAATAGCTATGTACCTCAGTACTGAAACGATGAAATTTCAAAAAAAAATTTTGTTGAAATTTTGTGTCCTTTTTGTCTTTTGGGATCCTTTAAATTCCATACACTAAGTTCTGAGATTTGAAGCCGAAATCTATGAAAAAAGGCACTCAGAAAAAATGATAAATCACCCCAAATTGCTTAACACGATTTTATGTCTTAAACTATAAATCCAAATGAGCTGAAATTTTCAGGGATTGTAGTCCTCTACTGGGATAAGAATCGCTGAAAATTTCAGCTTTCTATGACTCTATGTCTTATTTCACGCGATTTTGGTAGAGGTAGCAACATAATAAACAATATAGGAACGGTGCAAACAATATTTTGTCCTTTAAGTTTAAAAAGAGTTCTAGATTCTAAAATAAAGTACAATTTTGAAATCTGGAGTTTCCTACGTTGTCAGGTGTTAGACCAAAGTCATTGTTATACTTGTTAATGATATTAATTCTCTTTTTGTAGTGAATAATTTAGTTTTCTTGGAGTTTATAAACATAAAACTTAATTGACACGTATAGGTAAGTGTATTCCTCGCTCCTCACATTTTATTTATCAAACAAAGCTTAACCACGCAAATATCATAAATTTCATATTTCTAGACTCAACACAGACACTTTTAAAGTATAAATACCAAACACCACTTATAATTGAACATGGAAAGACTCTTTACTTTACTCTCACGTGTTCCAGTTTCCAGTTTACATTTCTTAAAAGCAAAGAACGTTTCCTAATGAAAACCTTGTTTGTTTAGTTGTTTAATTAGAGATTTAGAGACGGTCTAATTTCAAAGCTCAGTCTCGAATTACTTGTAATTTCTAACGAATTAGGTAGTAAAAACTTCCATCATCCATTCATGAATACATTCATCAAGAGCACAATACAGGCAAAGCTATAACTCAATGTAACTGATTTTCCTTCTTTTAAAGTTTTTCGGAAAATGGAAAAGTGTCATTGAATTCAGGTATTTCCGCCATACCAAAGTTGAACCAAAAAAGATATTCCAAACTCTTAATTTTTGTGAAAAAATTGAAGAATTAATTGTTCTGGACACTGAATATCTAATAATAAGTCAAGGCTTTATTCATTATTCTTCAAAATAAAACATCAAAAACAAAACTTTTCACTCATAAATTTTTATTTATTTATTTATCAGTAACCTCGACCCACGCGACTGTATATGATGGAATATAAATTCCGTCTCTTCATAAAACGCTTCCGTCCGATTTTTTTTTTTTGCTTTGTGGTACGTTTTCCTACAAGGCCAGAGTACCCAGCATACAATGTAAGCATATGAGATTAAAAAAAGCGAAACGGCACAAAGGAGCCTCTCTGCGAGCCCGGTACCACCTTGAACATCAACGCTTGAACCCTGGCGGTCGCAATGCTTTGGTTTTAAATTATTTATTTTTGCATCTTTCAGCAGTTCATTTGTGTAAACTTGGAACTTGGCCTTCTTAATAATTACATTTAGGACTTTTTAATGATAAATAATGTTTAGTCTATCGAGATGTTTATTTATTTTGTTCTTGCCGAATAGGGCTTGAGGTTAATGTAGATAAAAATAGACATTCATATTACATGCAAGCTCTAACTTTCTCTATATAATAAAATTATTATCTTTGCTAGCAGGTACCTACCAAAAAAAAACAAAATTTTCTGTTAGAGGGTGCATGGGTACCTGCTAAAAGGTTTGGGTGGGTTGCCTTCTATTTATGAGACTCCGGGCAACATCAAAGAATGCTTAAGTAGGTATTTGGAAAAAAAAATCCTAGAAATCCACCCTCTAAGTATACCTAACAAAAATAAGGGTGACCTTCATCCTTCATCATTCATCTCATCTTGCAGGTGTAGGTTAAGGCATGGTCGAGGTAGGATCATTTCAAGAAACCCGATACCCCCGCATGCCCGCATCTTGTTCTAAAAATAGAAGCACTCGGGAAGCTGTGACTCGGGCCTGGCCTTGCAAGCGAGCCAAGTTTCTCACGGTTGTCGTCGATTTTATTGCCCGGCCATCCTAAACCTAAATAAAAACATTTTTCACCTTCACCTCAGTCCCCACTACCTACTAAAATACCAATTCAATATTGTAATAGTCTTCTCCCATAAATCCTATTTAATTCAAACAGACAAGAGAATCTTAATTATTTCCAAAGAAAAAACACATAATTAGCCTCAAGGTTAAACAGACCGTTACACATTAAGTCGGAGCGGTGGGGATAAAGCTTTTATATACCGGTACGCTGTTCGCCGCGTTTTCTTTAGACCCCCGGTTCTCGAGTAGTGAACGTTGAACCAGTTACAACGCGCTTGCTTACAGACTTTGCCGCTTTATTATCAAACGAAATATTATGAACTTTGTACTTTAACCTTTTGTGCCGTCATGAGAATACGTATTAGTAACACGTATTACCCGATGTCAGTTGAGGAATCAGAGGTAACTATTTATTAATTAATAATTATTATAGTTATTATTTAATTTTAATATTGTTCTATATAATAATTATTATAGTTATTATTTAATTTTAATAGTGTTCTACATTTATCTTATTTGAGCGCGCAGTAGGTGGTACATGTGACAGGTAACTGCGCACAATCAATTTATTTTCATCTGCGCATTCGTCTGTGTGGGTACAATCCGGCGCAGTCGGTACCTAATTATTGTTTTTGCGAGCTAATTTTGAATGATTATACGTTTTGTTCGCATTGGTTAGAGGATTGTCTTAGGGCGCATGCCTACTTATGAATCTAGGTTAGGATTTCATTTTACCGCGATAGGGCGATTTGATGTTTGACCAAGGTTGTTTGAGGGAGGTAGATTGCCTGATAATTTTATGACGTCATCTGGGGTGCCTCAGCATAATGCAAATCTTCATCCCAGATGTGTCTTCAAGTTACCCATTACCAGACAACCTATTAACTTTAGCAGCCTTGTATTTGACGTACTGTCAATTTTTCAATAGTCAAGATGGCGCCGTGGCATCACAAACTTAACGTCCATAAAATACTGTGTATTTTCTGTGAATTTCTAAAGTTTTTTTTATCAGATTGGGAACGTTTCTCGATCGAAATTTTTATTTTTGACGTTGTTGTGATTTATGTAATTTAAGTTTTCCGCATTCATTGGCAGATGGAGATTGGCAAGGCATGTTTAAAGATGTCATTTATGTATGTAAAGTAAATTAGAGTGTTTAGTGAGTTTTTGCCATCACAGTATTTATGTAGAACCTATATTTAAGCCTTCATACCTACTTAGGATCCGTTTTGTACCTGTTGCCCAGACATTTTAGTGGTAAATAAATATTCCAACTAACTCTGTTTCAACTAAGAACCATTAAAGGAAATTGAAATAAATTAAAATTTATCAAATTAAATTCTGAAACAGGTAGAACTAACACACATATCGAGGCAATGTTGGTTTACATTTCGAGCCACGTCGCCATCTTGAATTATCAGCTAATTCGAATCGCCTAGTTTCGGAACAGAACACTAAAAAGAACCGGAGCACCTTCACTCAATTCTTCTTTTAGAATTGTTTGAATTTGGCGCAGCTGGCCTTATTGGTTTCGTGCACGTGACGTCACTAAATTGACTTTGGAGGTAAGACAACCTAACCTTATCCCATCTGTTTATATGGAGTTGGGTTGTCATGCTTTCTTCTTTTGATATTTTTTCGGTGATATTTTTGTTTGATTTGCTGTTTAATCTATATATATATAAAAATGAATGCCACTTTTCGTTGTAATTTTATAACTCAAGAACGGACTCACCTAGCCAAACCAAATGTTTAGGCTTTGTTCGGACTATTTATTAGATGGTTTATGTGAAGTTTGCACAAAATCGGTCGAGCGGTTCTTCATTTATCACATTTTTTGTAATAAATTAATTATTCAATAAATGGAGCATCATTTTGCTGTCAAATTCAAACTTTTTTCAGCGTTGACAGTACCAGCATGTTGTTATGTCATTTCATTACTTATTTTATTTATTTATGAAAAAAATTTACTAAGCCCGCATACGGCGCCATGTCTTATAACCGATACCAAGTTTATTTTGTATTTTGTATACCGCGCCATCTCTGATACCTGGAACGAAGCTCGGCATTGCAGATACAGTAGAACAATGCTGCACAGAACTATTCCACTATTCCGATCAGATAGAGTGGTGCAGAAAGAGTAGGTCAGATAGAGTAGTGCAGATAGAGTAGAACAGATGGAATAGTGCAGTGCATGCAGTGCAGATAGAGTGAAATAGGGCTGCGCTAGAGATTTTTTTTGTTTTCTTTACTTTCTTTGAACATTCCTGTGCCTGAGTTTATTTATTTGGTGGTACTTACACTTTACAAGAATAATGCCCACAAGCTGCCTAAAAAAGGATGATGTAAAATTTTAATTTTAGGTGCCTTCTGATCCAGAGAGTAAACATCAATTTTCTTCAACCAAAGCCAAATTCACCATCGAAAAAAACTGAATTTAATTCACCTAATAGATACGTTAACACAACATTTAATAGGTATATTTAATAATTCAGAGGCGGTACGAAGTTCGCCGGGTCAGCTAGTAGTTTATAATAGTATATTATATACCTAGGTAGAGAAGTTGGTCCTTATATACCGAGCGCTTTTATGATATATAATGAGTGAGGTATATAATGACTTTCTCTACCGAGGAATATATAGAATTTTTTTTACTACTGGTAGTAGAAAATGAAAAATTTGTTTAAAATCTGTGCTCCAATTATTTTTTTTGAACGCCCTCTTGAAAGTGCTGCCCTCTATCAACAGCTTATGATAACTTCCTATGTACCTACAGAAACCTGTATTTTTTTTCAAATTGACGTATGGAAATGAAATTGAACCAATAGAAACATGACAATATCCTTGCGTCATGACGTCATTTTCATTATTAACCTAGGTATTTTTTCATTATTTTCATTATTCACCTAGGGAGAGAAATTCAATTTTTTCCTAGAAAAATAGATTGAATAATGACAATTTCTCAGGTTAGTAGTAAAAAAAAACATTTATTCATGTTCATATGGCATATTCGGCAGCATTGTTTCTACATCCTACAACGGGACAATTGAAGGGTATTTTGACCCTAGTCTACATATACTATACTAGGAAGTGAATTATATTTCAATTAGAAACAATTTTTCAGAGGATTAGGAGGGCAAGACGGCGAAATTTCAAAGACACTAATTTTTAGGTTATGTTATCTCCAGTGTTGCCAGATGGAAAAAATAAAAAATTGGTATCTGTCATTCAAAAAAGTGGTATTTTACACACAAAAAATGGTGTGAAGTCCTGGGTGAAGTCTGTGTTTTTTTTAAGATAAAAGTCAAATGACATTATGTTGGCAATACAATGTAAAATTGTCAATGGTTCCAAATTTTTTTTTGTAGAAAAGGCTTGTGTTGCCAACATAGTTACTAAATTTTTGACTTGGGAATTATCTTAAAAAAAAAAAACAGACTTTATATCTTTAATTCTAAAGGGTAAAGGGGGTCTATTGTTATATTTTATTATTTTAATTTGGTCTGTTGCAACACGTTAAAAACCGTCCCAAGAACCGGTTCGAAACCACACGAAATTCGGATTCTACGCTCAAAGTTTTGCGCAGAAGCGTGACAGGTAGGGTTCCCTACTGTATTGGAACAAAGCGGATGATCAGCCCACGATTCCATGTTAGTTTTAAAAACGAAAATCCTATTAGAATAATGACGTCATAAGGTTAGCTGGAATGATCCTAAATGGAAACAGTAAAATACAATAGTAGAGGATTTCAAGCATTTGACCGGTCGGTTACACTTGACAGATTAACAATGAAGTAAACGTCATTTGTTAATGAATTGGTCTTGAATCTTGAATGACGTAGAATCCATTGCTCACCTGTCAAAGTTACCGACTAGTCAATCGCTCGAACATCCCCAATGCTTTTTAAATGGTATATACAAAAAATGGTAAAAAAATGGTAACTGTCATCAAAAAATGGTAGAAAAATGAAAAATGGTATCCTCAGAATTTTTGCAGGTATCACGGAAGAAAAAATGGTATATCTGGCAACGCTGGTTATCTCCAATGTGGTCACATGTCGCTCGAAATCCATTGACCAATCGCCTTGCGATCCGGTCATCGAACAACTGGTTTTGTTTACGTCAGCTGTTGGGCTTTATTTGATTTTAGAGTAGATAATCGATAGAACTAGTTCAGAATTGATCCGGAACCGATTTTAATTAAATAAGGAACTGTAACTAATGGCGCTTTGGGTTTGATTGCAATTTTGTATTTTTGACAGTTGACAGATAAGCAATGGTTTAAACTTCAACTGTCAAAAAAAAAGCACATAGGCCCGGTTCCCGGCACAAAATCATAGTGAAGTTCGATTAATCCTCTGCCAGCAAAAAGATAACAGGACCACGTGATCAGTTTTGAAACTTCAAATTGAAGATCACATAGGCTTTTGACAAAAGTGTCATTTTTCAGCTCGCGGAGGATTAACCGAACTTGCCTCATGTAGTACAAAACACAGGTTCAGTTGAACTCTACTAGTACTTGATCTTTCCCATTTAAAATGCATTGATGTCAGAAATCTGTCAAAGTGTATATTTTTTTGACAGCAACACATTTTTAGGCTGTGGTCCGAATATAACCAGGGTTGTGGTTTCGCGGTCTGAAAGTAATCAAATTGCTCTGGTTCCTGGAAAAGTGGTTACTTTTGGACCCCGGTTTCCTGAAATCGGCTATCGGATGTCGGTTCTGTTGGTTTTATCTGTAATTTCTGTCAATTTGCGTTCCCCAAGTAACAGGAATTTTCAGTAACCATCTGTCAAACGATTCGGTTACTTTGGTTAACGTTTGGTTATATTCGGACCATAGCCTAAATGGGAATGTTCAAGTACCATTAGAGTTTAACTGAACCACTGTTTGGTACAACCAGAACCGAATTTTCGCGACGAATGTACAGTTCATCCCAAGGACGAACCATAGTTCGTCTTGTGACGTCATGAGTTTGAACGCTGGCTAGTAGCTGCGTCCATGTTTCCGGCGAACCACGTTCAATATGACGTCATGAGTTTTTCGCGGAAGCGTCTGTGTTCATGAAATCATGGAAGTAGTTTGTCGCGAAAATTCGGTTCTAGTGCAATCAAATCGGAGTCGCTATAAGAATTCGGAATTCCACATTGTTTGAACAGCGTATGCGCGGAGTTCAGAGTCGTATTCGATTCGTAACGCAGTCCAGTTCAGATTGATCTGAACGAAGAAAGTAGGACCAATTCGATAACTGTCAACTGTCACTTGTCAGTTGCTCGTTCAGTGTAGAAAGCTTTTTCGTTTTTTCTTCACGGCTGGGTTCGGTAATAAACCGATCTCCTATTACCTGGACTGCGCGCGTCGCTTGTAGGCTGCAGGTGAGCGTCCAATGAAAAACAGGTTTG